ATGAGAAATCAAAAGGGACTAAACTAAATAAAATTTAGAAGTCATTTATTGGTGTTTTGGATTTGTGAGATACTATGGACGTGTTTGGCTACCGCCACAGCTGTGGCCACACTGTAAGCACGGCGGACAAAACGGCCTCCCGACTATTGGCATGCTGCGGCACGCGATTTGCACTACCGGTTGCGGCGCGCCAACAACTGCGGCAAACTGCGGGCGGCGTTTGGCTCCCATGGCGTGTCGCATGTGCAGCGTGGCGGCCTGCGGCGTGGTCTGGAAGCCATCCAAACACGCCCTATGTCACATGGGAATACGGTGGTCTGTACGAGAGAAATACGGACCACTTGAAATTAGGTACTCCTATCACAAGTCACATGAGTGAGAGTGCCTAATTAAACGCCATTGCTCCTAATCCCCTTGCTTAAGTAAGACAACGCAGCCCTCCCTCACCCTCGTACCCCCCCTCTCTCTCTCCACCTGCCTCTCCTTGCTTTCTCTCCACCACCTCCTCCCCACGCGTCCCGTCCCTTCCCTCCCTCTCCTCTCTTCCCTTTCTATCTCCTACCGTCGTTAACCTTCCGTTACACCACCCGCCTCACGCCGTCACGTCAACTTCCGCCACAAAAGCACACGCGCCCCTACCCAGCCCCAGCCATGTCCACCGCCGGCGACCCCGCCGGCGCAACAGCAGCAGCTGCTGCTGCCGCGGCGGCGGCGGCCACCCCGTCAGGTCGCGCGCCGAGGCTGCCGCGGTGGACCCGGCAGGAGATACTGGTGCTCATCGAGGGCAAGCGCATGGTGGAGGGCCGCGGCCGGCGCGGCGGGAGGGGCCGCGTGGCGGCGGCGGCGGCGGCCGCGGCGTCGGCGTCGGGGGAAGCCTCAGCATCAGCGGCGCTGGAGCCCAAGTGGGCCGCGGTGGCGGAGTACTGCCGGCGCCACGGCGTCGAGCGGGGCCCCGTGCAGTGCCGGAAGCGCTGGAGCAACCTCGCCGGCGACTACAAGAAGATCAAGGAGTGGGAGCGGGCCGCGGCGGCCTCGCGCGAGCCGTCCTTCTGGGCTATGCGCAACGACGCGCGCAGGAAGCGCCGCCTCCCGGGCTTCTTCGACCGCGAGGTGTACGACATACTCGAGGGCCGGGGCCGGGCCATCCTCGAGGACCGCTCCGCCCGGAATGCCGCGGCGGAGGAGCCGGCGGCGGTGTGCGTCGAGGAGGGCAAGGAGGCGGAGGTGCCGGAGGCCGTCTTTGACAGTGGCCGCCCGGCCACGGAGGAGGCCTTGTTCTCCGAGGATGAAGAGGAGGAAGAAGAGGACGCACCGGCGGTGGCCCCTCCTCCCCCTCCACCACCCGTCATCGCCGTGCCTGTATCTGGTGAGCTGCTCGTTGACTTCCGCTTCGCCTTTTTGCTGCCTCTTCCTCCTGGTGCTTGCACTGTTTGATGCTTTCGAGTTCTTCCTAATTTTTTGGTGCTATATATAAAAAAAATCAGAACCTTTTAATTGCGAATTCGTTTTGCCGCTGTTTATGCTGGAGGTAAAAGGTGGGAAGCTTTCTGGTTCTTGTCCATGCTAAAGTTGAGGTATTCATGTTTACAGCTCCTAACTTGTAAGCACAACAACTTCCTTCAAATCGGATGCTCTTGATTGGACATCCTACTTACTATCTTGTTATGAGATGTATCTTGTGTTCTTTATGTTGGTGCTTGTGCTTTAACGGGGTGGAAAATTTCGAGTTCTTGGTGCTCTTTTTTCTTTTCTGCAAGAAACTTTTTATATGAAATAATTTAGCGGTTGCTCTGCTCCTGGATGTTTCGGTCTGATTATCATTTTGGTGTGCTGGAATTTAAATTTGAGATTGGAGCTTGAGCGACTTTCTCTGATTCGTCTCTTAATTCTGATTTGTGTTCATTTGGTGTACTTTCTTCTTGTATTGTCGATTTCATTGGTAGGTCCACTGATTTTGTCTTGATTAATGGCTTGAATTCTCCATTTCAGAGAAGCCCGAGGCATCAAGGCAACAACAGAGCGCTGAGCAAGGTACATGGACTTTTAATTCGTTTACTGTTCTCTAGTTTCCTTTATGCTCCTTTTTTTAACTTGCAACTCCAGATCTTTTAGCATCGCTAAAGAACTTTACTGTTCCATTGGATTCATTAGCCTATTGTATGCATATCACTAATTTGAGTGTTGCATTAGTGATGAATGTGGTATTTCAGCAATTATAATTACAGCATGCGTCAGATGCACAACTTTTCATTATTGAAATTCACTTTGCACTTGAAGTTCCAAATTTCAGCAAGGCTTCAGTAAAAGAGAACTGTAGAATGTCTTTGACAGTTTGTCTGCATAACTATTGTGAACTGTATCATCAGCTATGAGCTATCCATTATTATAACTTATAATAGGCATCATTAAGTCATGTTGCTATGTGGTTGTGGGGTCTCTGAAACCAAACTGATACTGTGCTAGATTGCCAGCTTATACAAAAGTGTAAGCAACAACAAATGGCTCTCTTTGGTGGTTACCATGTCCATCAAACTTTTTCCATATTGGCAGTTTTGGATGAATCACGGTTATCAGTTCCTTTCTGTGTGATACTGTTTCAAAGTTTGAATCTTCCAAGTGATCAGTTTTAGTTCTTTTTTAATAATTGATTAGTACACATAATGAAATGCCTCAGTTTTGGTATTACTTATGTGAGATTGGCTTTAAGCTTTGTCATAGACTGTTGAGGAATCTCATGGTGTCATATTTCGGTCAATATATTTTCATTAGGCAGAACTAGTTAATGCATTTGCATCAACACTTTAATGCTCACCTTTATGTTGCACATACTTTGACACATCAACTAGATTCTTTCATTTTGGCTCACGGGAGAAAGTTTGCTTTTAGTAGCTATCTACTGACAGAACCTATGTAGGACTGCCTTAAAATGGGTAAAGAGTTTCCATAATGGATGTTAGAAAAAAGAGTGAGCACCGAGTATAGGTGTAAATAGTAGTAAAAGTAGGGAAGAACTGAAAGTTATAGGCCTATGCACTTGAACATTTCGAAGTATTCTTTAAAGGTTTATAAATGCACAATGACGTTAAAATATGAACTTATTTCATAGTTCTGGTGGTATCTATATTTTAACATGTTATATATCCAGGATTTCTTTTGAGAAAATATTTAAAGTGTGGAAGTGCATGGATCAGAAATGGGTGTGGCTGATACCATTGTGCTGATTTCGTTTTCTGGTTCTTTTTTGTTTTTGACAAACTGGGATGATGGCTCGCGCTGGCACTGCAAATTTGAAATCATGTGAATGGGACTGACCAGTGTTACATCCCTTGGTGTCATATTAGCTAGTGATGAATTATGAAACTGCTGGAGCTTCACACATGCTTTTTTTCTTTTGGCTGAGCAACTCTGAAATGTCCAATGGCAACAGAATATGTTTGACTGAAACTATCATTTCACTTGCAGATACCGTGCTTTCTTTGAACGTAGTGACTAGGTTGGAATTTGGAAACCTTTCATTGCGCTGAAAAAAGAACTTGACCAATCTATGAGGAACTAGGTCTCATTTTAAATAAAAAGAAATAGGCATTCAAATTCAAGTCGAAGAGGACTCAAACCTAGAAGATTGGGGTGTATACCCAGTTACCCAAACCACCTATCACCAGCTGAGCTAAGGCTAAGTTCCTTTTTTATATCTTGTTATCTTATCTGCAAAGTGCTGCACCAGATGGAAATACTTAAACACACAAGAGATAATGATGCGATCTCTTAAGCAGGCACATCGAAAGACACACAGCCTGAGCAAATCTCTGAGAGGGATGCACCAGCTCAGCAGGGCGGACAGAAGAGACCGCGGACCGACGAAGGGGCTGGAGAAGGCACAGCAGACCTGCAGAGCAAGCTGATCGAGATCCTAGACCGGAACTGCCGGTTGTTGGCTGCACAGTTGGAGGCGCAGAACCAAAACTGCGAGCTCGACAGGGAGCAGAGGAAAGACCAAGCTAACAGCCTAGTTCTTGTGCTGGGCAGGCTGGCCGACGCCCTTGGCAGGATCGCCGATAAGCTATAGTCAGTCAGTCACCTAGGTGTATATGTGGACAGAAATAATTACAGCAGGAAGAAGATGACATTTGTAAGTGAATGTACAGATTGGTATAGGGCTATTGGCATTCGATTCTTTTTTGGGCCGGTTCTGGAAATTCTGTATTGGGGGGTGGTGTTATATAGGGAAGTCAGGTTCATAGCACTCAAATGATGTGGACTAGCAGAATTCAGTTGTGTGGCTGCGGTGGATTCTGGGGCTGTGTTATATAGGGAGGCGAGTAATTATTCTCAGCAATGCAATTGTGTATAGTTGAGCTTTTTGTGATGGCTGTGCATGTGTGCGCGTGATACTGTGATGTGGACTCGAAATCGAAAACAAAAGTGAGTTGTCAGTGGGTTGATGAGTTCTGGGCTTCTGGCTATAACCTGAAGCGAGCAACACAGGAAACCAAAATATGAGGTTGGAGTGGATGTTTTTTTGTGTGGTTTTTCTATGAAATCAAATGCAAAAGAAATTTTCCTACGTTTTTCCTGCAAGCAATTACTGTGAATCAAAGGACGCTACAGTGACTAAATCCATAGGAATGTGAATGCTACATTTTTCCTTTGTTTTTCTTGCAATCCAAAGGGGCCTTAGAACGGATGAAGCATACAATAGTTCGTGGAAGTCCTGAAATTTCAATTGTGATTTATTTGGTTTAGTTGTAGGCTATGAAAAAGCTTGAGTTATGTGCTGTGAAAAAGTTGTAACTCGAAACAAATATGAAACTGTCAGAGCCCAACCCGGGGAGGGGGGCTGGTGTGCTAGGGGAAGAGGACAAAGAGGCGTTGGGAAGAGGACCGAGGCTTAGAAGGGAGAGGAGGGGATAGAAGACCCTTGGCCTATTTAACTCTTGCTTAAGATTAAAAGGTTACACCGTCTCTGTATTTAGTTCTGGGAGACTTAGCCCCTAAGCAATCTAATTTTGTCCTCCAAGCAAGTAGATCCTATCCTCCCGGATCTGGCTCTGTATTTAGTTCTGGGAGACTTAGCCCCTAAGCAATCTAATTTTGTCCTCCAAGCAAGTAGATCCTATCCTCCCGGATCTAGATGTTGGCGGCACGGCGGGAGGCCACCCCTCTGCTGGTAGCCTCCCCCTCCTGGTGGCGCGGTCAGCCCAGACCTGGCCGCCCTGGGCCCCCTCATGGGCCCTTCATTAGACATACAACATCTCTTCCCCCTTCTCCTGGCAGTGCGTCCTCGCGCTGAGGCTTTGCTTGATCGTTGATAGGGCTTGAGGAAGACGGCTGCTGCAACTCCTTTGTACGTGATCTCCGGAGTGGGGATCTCTGGTTGAGGTGGATCTGCTATTGCTGGAGATTTGTCGGGGCGAGTGAAGAACTCGTCAAACATCGTCTTCCACCGATTGGTCATGTTGCGGATGTCGAGGATCTCCTTAGAACGTGCACGCTCATTGTTGCTCGGGCGAGCATCATTGTTCATTAGCTTGGTGGCGAGGCCGCTGCAGGGAAGGCTGGCGGCAATGCTGCTTGTTGCATGGTCGCTGCGGGGTGCAGCGAGCAACAAGGGTACGGCGGCGTTGGGCAGCAGCGAGCTGCTGCTGGTGTTGATGGCGAAGAACTTGTCGTCCAGTTTCGCCAATTGATCTATGATGTTGTGGGCGTTGTTGCAGACTTTCTTTATATCGATGATCTTGGTGGTGGTGGCCATCGGATCGATCTGGTGTCCGATACCAGTGTCAGAGCCCAACCTGGGGAGGGGGCTGGAGGCCGATTAGGAGGGGGCCTCTAGGGTGGCGGCTATAGTTGGGGAGGGAGCTGTGGACGCCGGTGCTGGGAGAGGGCGGCAGTGCTAGGGCAGGAGGGAGGGAGGGAGTTGGCGCAGGAGAGGGAGAGGAAAGGAGAGATAAGCCTTGAGGCAATCCTTTCTTGATTCCAATGATTACAAAGCCCCTCTAGTTATAGTCCTAGGTAGACTTGTATTTTAAGTAATCTAATGAGGGAAGTCCTTATAGATATGGATTCCTTCCTATCTTAGCTAATCCTATCCCTATTGGAGATCCTCCGGATATGGATAGTGGAGCAGTGGGGATCCGCCCTTGCTTGTGCGCCTCCCCCTAGGCGTCGGTGCTGCTGCTGCCCCTTGCGGCGGTGATGGTGCTACTGCTGCTGCTACTGGCGTCTGGTCCAGCTGGGCTAGATGGGCCTATAGGCCCCATTAGGCGCATGACATCACTCCCTCCTTCTCCGATCAGCGCGTCCTCACGCTGAATCATTGTCCAATCTTTGACTGCCTCTGGTGGTGGTTTGGCGTCCCCAAGTAGCTGTGTGATTTGAACTATGATGTGGCCTAAGGTGTCGTTGAATTCATTGGTGGTGACATGGTAATCGAAGAACTGGAAGCGGTAGGTGCACAAGCCAAAGTAGCCGTAGATGTAATAGCTGTCGGTTCCCGAGCCATCTAGTGGTTCATGGATGTGGTGGACTACGTAGATGGCGGCACCAGAAAGTGTTCCTAAGAAGTGTAGTGTCTACATCTCCCGTGGAGGTTATAGAAGCGAGTGCATCTGGCCAGCATCAACTTGTCCCCTTATGCACTGGCACAACGCAATGGCGACGATGGTTGGTGGTGTCGTGTTGTAGCATGCCGAAGAGGAGGTCGCCGGTGTTGGAGTTTGTCGGGGAGATCAGCGGGGGGCCGTTAGTGTGCTGCCTGCCGATGTAGACATCCTTGATGGAGAGGAACTGTTGGCCATTGTTGTCGAAGTAGATGACCGTGGCCGATGGAAGCATGCATTGTGCCTAGGCCTCGAGGAGTAGAATACTCGAGGGGAAAGCTTGCGTTGTCGATGAAGAAGTCGTTGTGTGAAGGTCGGTCGCTAGGAGATGCGGAGCTGTATTTCTGAGCGACTCGAGCAGGTCCTATAACAAAGGTGAAGTTATCGGAACATTGTATCGTTCGTTGTAGCGAACGATGCCGTGTTGGAGCTATCGCCTGGACTTCAATGGTGGCGGAGATGATCTAGAGTTTGCGCTCATCTGAAGTGGCAAGGCGGAGTTGAGCGAGGATCTCCGGATCCAGTTCGATGCGGGTCGCTGCTCTAGTGGTGGTGGGATGGCCGGTGTTTCCTCATGGTGATGTCGGGGCGGTTGCTGTCAGCGGTGTTGGATCGCCCCGTCTTGGCGAGCGCAAGCACCGGGGACTCTAGGGTACGGGCGAGGTCGATAGCCGTCTTCATTACACGAGGGTGGTGACGTACAACCGCCTCTCGGAGTGCATGCTAAAGGCCGTTGACGAAGAGGCTGACTTGGTGTTGTTCACTAGTGATGCTGATGCATAGAGCGTAGGCGATGAAGTCGTTGATGTAGTCGTTCATGTAGGCGTTATGACGAGGTGGTGCGAGGTCGCTGGTGGTGTTGCGGTTGGGGCTGAAGTTGCGGATGATGCTCTCGGTGAAGTACGGCCACTCGGTCATGGGTGTATCCTTCGTTGCGCGCATGTACCATCGGTGTGCTTCACCTTTTAGATGAAAGGCCACATACCAGGTGTGTGGTGCTTCCGGTAGACGGTATAAGTTGGAGATTTGCTGTATGCGCGAAAACCGTGGCCTTGGATCCGTCAGGCCATTGTATGTAGGCGTCGTGAGTTGTGTCTTGACAGGGACATGTTGTTGTTGTGGTGCGGGTGTTGTTGGTGTAGTCGGCAGTATTGGTGGAGCAACCCTCCATGTCGGTGGCCAGGTGGCCGACTGCTGTTGTGGAGGCATCTTCGTCTGTTGGGTGACGCCAAACTATCGATGGATTTGCTACCAATGGCGTGTCCTGCTGGTTGGTGGGTGATGCTTTCTAGACAACTGGCAGTTGTGGCGGAGTCGTCGGTGGAGTCGCAGCTGGTGGTGTTCTCGGTGGACGCTCCCGCTGGTTGTTGTTCGGGTCCTGGACTATAGTCGCCCGGATTATCGGGGGGCCTTCCAGTGGTGGGAAGAGCGATGACACTAGAGGCTACGGTGATGGAGGTGCATCCGACAGCAGGGTGTCGGAGACTGCCAGGATGATCTCCGAGGCGCTAGAAGACTGAGGTTGTCCATCTTGCGCTTGAGGTAGGCTTTGCCGGTGGTGATCATGCCTCGCTTGGTTTCCATGGTGAGATCATCGATGGTGGCTTCCTTGTCCAATCTGTCTTGGACATCGGTGATGGTAGCATCACCATGGTCGTGTGCACGCTCGATAGCATGTAGATGGCTGTCCAGATTGACGAGTTGACGATGCATCTCCCCAAAGTTCTTGCGAAGATCGACGGCGAGGTTCTCGATCAGCTGCTGCATGGTGGGGGCGGTGGAGTCCAAGGATCGTTTGGTCTTCGGATACCAGTGCAAGAGGCCGGTTAGGAGGGGGCCTCTAGGGTGGAGGCTAGGGATTGGGGAGGGAGCTATGGGCGGCGGCGCTAGGAGAGGGCGGTGGCGCTAGGGCAGGAGGAAGGGAGGGAGTTGGTGTAGGAGAGGGAGAGGGAAGGAGAGTTAAGCCTTGAGGCAATCCTTTCTTGATTCCAATGATTACATAGCCCCTCTACTTATATTCCTAGGTAGACTTGTATCTTAAGTAATCTAATGAGGAAAGTCCTTATAGATATGGACTCCTTCCTATCTTAGCTAATCCTATCCCTATTGGAGATCCTCTGGATATGGATAGTGGAGCGGCTGGGATCCACCCTTGCTTGTGCGCCTCCCCCTAGGCGACAGAGCTGCTGTTGCCCCTTGCGACGGTGGCGGCGCTGCTGCTGCTGCTGGCGTCTAGGCCAGCGGGGCCAGATGGGCCTGTAGGCCCCATTAGGCGTATGACAAAAATTGTGCCCTCTCTTTATCTACCTTGAAGCTGCTACAAAACATCTTTCTATTTTCATCCATTTGGAAAAAGCTAAAAGACAAAAAAAGCATTATCCATGATGCTACGAAAATTGTACTACATAAAAAAATAGCTTCTAGTTGCACCCATTTTGTTGGTTTTCTACTTTTTAGCAGCAGAAACACTTTTCACAAATTGAACCAAACACAACCTAAGTAGCCCCATGCAAAAAATGTTCGCGAAAACACTCAATTTTTTTACTTATAAGACAATTGTTGGCTGAAAGGATCAAGATGCCCAAGAGGGGGGGGGGGTGAATTGGGCTAATTCTAAATTTCTTTGCAATAATTAAACTCTACGGTTAGCCCACTTCACCCCTTGTGCCTAGAAAGTGTTTCTAATATTCTACCGCACAAAAAGGTCTTGGAACCTAAGTTCCAATCCTACTCTAGCATGATAATTCTATGAATGTAAAGACAATAATTGAATTGCTCAAAGTAAATGCTCAAAGTAAAGAGAGAAGGAGGACTGGTGCGGCCTGAGACTCTGTAGGTATGACTGTAGTAGGCGGCTCTGATGATGCAATTGAAGAAGGGAGCATCTCTGTAGTCCTAGTAATAGGTGCAACTGTGGAAGGACCTAGGACATGTAGATATGGTGAAGTAGGCTACCCTGTCAACTCACTGAAGGTAGCACCAAGGCTCCTAGAGACTATAGTATCTGGCACAAGCAGCGAGGAAGTCTGAGCTGGTGTGAAGCCCATCTGAAAAGGTGTGAACTACGGGGCTGGCACTAGCTAGGCAAACCACTGGGACACCTGCTCTGTAGGTGAAGCAAATTGAGTAGCAGTCTGTCCCTGACTATGAAGCCCACTGGGCTGTACAACTGGAGTCTGTGAAGTGGTGGCAGGCTAACCAAGCTGAGGTGTATGCTGTGGCGGTGGAGCCCCAATAGCAGTAACTACATGCTGCATAAATCCGAGTAATTGCTGCTGTATGAGAAGCTGCTGCTGATGCATGGCCTACTGCTACTGCTGTATAGCCTGCTGCTGCTGCTGGATCGCCTGCTGCTGTCGCTAAAACTCATCCTGTCTGGCCTGAAACTGTGCAAATGTTGTAGCGGTCTCCTGGGCCTAGCGAGCCTGATCCTGCCTCATCCGCTCAAGTATAGCAAGTAGAGCGGGATCTGTCTGTGGTGCAGGTGGAGCTGAACTAGAGTTACCGGCCTCATGGTCTGTCATCAAGGAGGCATCTAAGGAATATCCTGGTAGTCATCATCTGTACTGTCGCTGGGGTCGCTCTTGACCATCCCCTCCTACTGAGCATCTAATTGTTCCTCCTCTATAGCTGCAATGCCCCTGATGGTCTCATCCTGCTGGGCTGCAGTCTCTGGCACCTCTGGATGATGGCGTGGCTGGCTAGGTGCCCTCAGTGCACTATGGCGGAGCATCTGAGTCATGTTGTATGCAGGGAACTCTATAGTAGCACCACTATACTCTGCCAGCATCTCAGGTGGTCTCACAGTAACTGCTCTGTGAATCAAGAATGTAATCCAGTGAGCATAGGGCAACTGTCGGTGACATCTGAACCCCTCTGCAATAGTATCCTCCATCTTAGATAGTATGAGATCCCAAATATTAAATACAGTCTGCTACATCAGAGAGTTCAGAAGCCACAACTGAATGCGAGTCAATCCCACACGATATCACATCCTCAGAAGCAGTGTCCTCCTCATGATAGCATCAAGCACTCTAGCTGTAGGAGTGAGGTCACTGGGTGTCCTGCTCGACCCCTCGCCGAATGGCTCTGTGAAGCAATGGCGGACCAAATTTGTAGGAGGCACCATACCACCATGAGGGCGTCTGGGAGG